AAGCAGGCTGCCCTGTCTGTTTGGAGCCAGCAAGCCGAGTCTCATCGCCAGAGTCTCACTCCAGTGCAAATCATTTGAATCCTTAATCTGAAGCGTTTGCATTCCACCCAGTCTCAACAAACAGCCACACACGCTCCACAACAGCTGCCCAGAGGTCAAACGTGCGCCGGGTTCATCCAGTTTTGTAGTGCTGCAGCTACACCAGCTTCAGCTTGAGGCTGCGACAGCAGCAGGACCCCTCCTGTTGTTATAGGGCATAGAGGAACAAGCTGTGCCGAGCAGGGAATGCGGCTGCAAGGATTTAAGAGGAAGGTGAAGAGGCTAAATGTTAACTTAAGAGCAAAGAAGTGTTTTGGAGGATGGATGCTCCATGTTGTCTAGCTGAAGCGGTGACCGGGGCGCTGGGATGAGCGAGCCGGCACGTTTTCAGAGGATTTACCAGCAACAGCCTGAAGGGAAGGGAAAAATAGCTGCGGGAACTGTGCTGAAGTTTGCATGCTGAGCAACCAGCCAGACTCCATCCTTCCTCTCCATAATTGCCCAAAGGCAGGCGAGCAGCCTCCAGCCTCGTGGTGGAAGCAGGACAAGTGTGCCAGGAAGGCAACAGCCACCCAGGAGCACCAAGGCAAAGGGGACGTCAGGCTCTGCTTCAGGCGTGTTGAGAAGAGCAGGGGCTGGTCTGCTGAGCACAAACATCCAGGCAGCACAAGGCAACAGCAAAGTGCTTAACACAGGCTCAGAGAGGAGGGGAGAGGTGAGGACATATAGGAAAAAACATTTCCACAGTTGTTGGACTGCATACAGGCATTTGCAGGACCTTGAAGTGCCAAGGCCTTGGAGACAACAGCAGGAGGGGCAGGAAAGAGAGCAATCACGTTGGCTAACAGCCTTAACTTCCTAGAACGAACGAGCCTCTGGTATCATCACGCCTCTGAGAGTCCCAAGTTCAGCCCCAAGCTGCCTCTTGGGCAAACTGTTTGGAAACCAGAACCCCAAGGAAGATCTCCCCAGCACAGGAGCCAGCAGGCACTTGGGGCAGGGGCAGCAGCACCCCATGTTCTGCGGGGTCACTGCTCCCACCCACGTGCACCCCTCCTGCCTGCTTTGCTCAGCGGGGTACGAGGTGCTGGAGAGGCCACTGCTTCCCCTGCGTTATGGGAACTGCACCGTGACAGCCAGCTCTGGGGTCAGATACCAAAAGCCTCTTCAGGAGCACGGGCCATCTCCTCAGCCTTGCCGCTTGGTGTTTTAGGGAGGCTGGGATCTCTCGCAGCCGTTCAGCTGCCCCCTGCGTTTGCCAAGTCGGGAGGCAGAGGAAGACGCAGATCGCGGCGTCTTGATTTGATTGGGAGGGACAGCCGAGAAACTGGGCAAAGAGCAGAAAGAACAGGCCTCGGGGATCGATGGCAGCAGGACGAGCCTGACCGGTTCTGGCATTAATAATGCTGCACTACTTTCCTCACACAGGCTATCATCGGCCAGACACCGGCTTTGCCAATCAGGCAGCCTCCAAGCGTGATTGCTGCTAACGAGCCGGCAGAGCCCACGGAGCTCAGGGCCTCCCCCCTCTCCCCGAAGGCTCCCCGGCTTTGGGGATGGATTTCTGCTTGCCTGCACTGCTGGGGATGCACAAACACAATGCGGTGCTGGGGAGGAACCTTCTGCTTACTGCAGGGCAGTGAAGCAGGACTGCTACACCCAGCTCGCAGCCCATTAGCGCTGCTGAGGACCTGCTGAGCTCAGGGCAGTCACAGCCAGGAGCAGCCCAAGCCCCCAGCAGGCAGAGACATCCCCCTGATGCCGAGGAATACCTGCTGCCTACCTCCTGTGCTGCCAGAGGCCAGCGAGATGCTGGAAGTGCAGGCAGAGCTCTACAGTCCCACACTGCCCCTCCTCAACTCCACTGATCCCACATTTTAGCCACACTGGGGGCTTTCTGCGCATCCCCAGCACCTCCTGTGGGACCCCCTTACTGACCCCACACAGCCTTTGCTTCCCGCGGCACTGGATGGAGAGGGCTGGGGACCACCGGGGGATGGCAGGCTGCAGACCCAGCCGTCCCCAGGGCACAGGGACGAGGCGGTGTCCTCACACCCAGCCACACCACGGGTGTAACACCAGCCACCCCCAGCCCAGGCGCAGACGTCACACATCGGCACCCCGCTGCTAGCCCCCACCCTCCTACACACCCCGGATTGCTTCACGCGGAGAAATCCCGTCCGCGCCGACGAGGGGAAAGGAGCCAAGGCGGTTTTGTTTGTACAGGCTCGGGGAAATATTCGAGCACCGAATCGCTCCCCAAAGCCACGCTCTTACATAAGCACAGGCAACACAATCCCCGTCTTGTGAAGAAACTGCTACCTGTCTTCACCCCGCCCGCACGGAGGAGCCGGGAGCCGCATGCTGTGCAGCCCTGCACGTTTTGGCAGGGCTATAAAAAAAAATAATAAAAAAAATAAGGGGAGGAGCACGCACAGAGCTCTCCCACATACTGTGTCATCCCGTCTCCTCCTCGGCAGTCCGTAGCCTGATTTGTTTGGATACGGCTCTGCGGTAGGTTCGTGTGACCGCTCAGGCGCACGGTTCGCCTTACGCAGCAGGGAAGACACCGCCAAACACCCCGCATGGGCTGCGTGCGGGGATTTACAGAATCCATCTGTTGCAAAGCCGTTGTCTTTGCCGAAATCCGATGCTTGCAGTCCACTCGGCTCCCCAGGGACACCAAGTCGCATTTCATACCAAACATGGTCAGCGCAACTTCCAGATGCTGTCTGCCCCAAAGGTCTGCCCCGCCAGCCCCGCCACTTCTCGGACGAGCAAGTCACAAACTAGAGAGGGACGCTGGGCTAGAGAGGATCTGGGCTTGCTGGTGTGGGCAGAGGGCGGCAGACGAGCTCTGCAGACGCCCTCTGCGGGAGTTTCCCACCCCACAGCCCCCTGCCCCTGTTGGGGAGCGGTGCCCGGTGCTGAGCACAGCAGCAGCGGCACTGACCTGCCCACACGGGCAGCCTGCTGCCCAAAACATCCCATGTGGATAACCCGACCTAGCTTTGGGATCCTCGCAGCCATCTCACGCTCAGCAGCTCCCTCAGACCAGCAGAGGAACCTGCCCTGAGCGCGCAACCAGCGAGACATCACCAACACCCAAACCCAGACACTGGGGAGGCAAAATCCCAAAACCTCCGCCTCACCGGGGAGATCACACACGTGCCTGACTCGAGGCATCCCGATTCCTTCACCTCGTTGCATTTCAACGAGTCCTAAATCAGTCGGGCACCCTTTTTCCTCTCCGGTTGGAGGCGAGGAGGGTTTGACACCCAGGCGAGGCAGGAAAGCGCGCCCAGGCACCGCAACGCGCTGCGTGCCTCCAACCCACCACCAAAACCCGGCGATAGAAGAGGGCTCCGAGGGCTCGGCCCCGCAGCCAGCAGCCCACCGCTGCCCTGAGTGTGCCGGAGGGCAGAGAGAGAGAGAAAGAAGCGGCGGAGCGGAGCGGGGAGGGCAGGCAGAAGGCACCGGGCTGCGCCCCGGGGCCGGCACTCACCGACTCGGCGGCGGCGGAGGCCAGGAGGAGGGCGAGCAGGAGGAGGGCGACGCGGAGCTGCGGCATGGTGAGGCTGGGATGGGATGGGATGAGATGAGATCGGGCTGAATCGGAGCTGGGATGAGGCTGAGGTTGAAGCTCGGCTGAGCAGCGAGGCTCTGGGCGCTCCCCGGCGCAGCACCGCTTATAGCGGCCGGCAGCGGGGCGGAGCGCACCCGGGGACAGCCCCCGGCACTGTGCCACCGAGGGGAACGGGGAAGGGAAAGGGAAAAGCGGGGAGAAAGGGAAAGAGGAGGGAGAAATGGGAATGAAGGAGGGGAGGGGAGGAAGGAAAGAAGAAAGGGGGAGGGAAGGGAAGGAGGCGGGGGGGAAAGGGAAGGAAAAGGGAGAATGGAAATTGAGGGGGGAGAAGGGGAAAAGGGAGGGGGGAAGGGGAAGGGGGAGGGAAATGGAAGGGAAAAGGAAAAGGGGAGAAAGGGGAAGGGAAAAGGAAAAGGGGGGAAGGGAAAGAGAAAAGGGAAAAGGAAAAAGAAAAGGGAATGAAGGGAAAAGGGGGGAGAAATGGAAAGGGAAAAGGGGGAGAAATGGAAAGGAAAAAGGAAAAGGGGGGAAGGGAAAAAGAAAAGGGGGGGAAGGGAAAAAGAAAAGGGGGGGAAGGGAAAAAGAAAAGCGGGGGAAGGGAAAAGGGGGGAGAAATGGAAAGGAAAAAGGAAAGTGGGGAGAAATGGAAAGGGAAAAGGAAAAGGGGGGAAGGGAAAAAGAAAAGGGGCGGAAGGGAAAAAGAAAAGGGGGGGAAGGGAAAAGGGGGAAGAAATGGAAAGGAAAAAGGAAAAGGGGGGAGAAATGGAAAGGAAAAAGGAAAAGGGGGGAGAAATGGAAAGGAAAAAGGAAAAGGGGGGAGAAATGGAAACGAAGTGTCAAGTGAAAAAAGGAGGGGAGAAAAGGAAAGAAGGGGGAGGGGAAAAAAGGGGGAAGGGAAAAGGAAAAGGGGGAGGGGAGAAAGGGGAAAAGAAAATGGGGGGAGCGAAAGGGAAAAGGAGGGGGAAGCAAACACACGGTATTTGTTCTCGTTTTCGCAGCATTCCACAAGTGACAGTGTTACGTTTCCAGAAAGCCGAGCGGGACTTTCTGTTTGAGTCTCTGCCACCGCTGCGGTTACGGGGCGGCGCGTTACATCACGCAGTTCTTTTTGGAGACAGAAAATGAAACCGCTCCGTCTGTTTTCTGTGCAAGCAGCGTGTGCAAAAAAAACCCAGGTAGTCAAAAAAAAACACACCACGACAGCAGAGTTTAACTATTTCAGGTTTTTCTTGCCATTGATTACTTTGCCTGATCGTGGGTATTTGGTTGTGTTTGTTGACAGCATCAGTTCCTGCCCTGAAATAGCCTGGGGTGCACCTGAACTAGCACACTGGCATGCCCTTTGTCCCTTGTTCACACTGCAGGCCACACTGGATTGCACTTTTTTAAAATTTTTTTATTATTTTATGGAGAGTACAATATATTCTTAATGAGGAAGCAATGCCCGGACTACAAAGCGCGTGTGCCATGCCCCCATCAGCCCGTTATGGATCCAAACTCTGCTAGAGCTGGTTCTCAGCCCGCTCCACCACTCCTGTGCTGCCCCACGAGACCTCGTAGCCTCCCTGTCCCACCTTTACATGCCGACCCTCAAAGCAAAGACATCTCTCGGGTGAAGCAGCCTTCCCAGCTGCCTTTGGGAAGATAGGGGGTTGTAAGCTGAGGCCACGAGGTCTTGTTGTGTTGTGTTAGGACTGTACCTGCGTGGGGACTCTGCTGGCAGGAGACCCTCCTTGCAGCACTGTCCCGAGCTGGCTGTGGAGCTGGTTCCATATGAACTGACAAGGGGCACTGCTCTGAGCTTGCAAACATAAAATCTGAAGACGGCACACAGCCAGGTGGGGGTAGGAACCGGGCTGGAGGCTGGGATGGAGCTTCCTGTAGTAACTGCCCCCCTGTGCTCAGGACAGCGATTTATCAGTAAACCTCTGGTTCACCTCAGCATCCAAGGCCGTTGAGGACGTCAGGGAGGGCTCTGCGCTGTGGGCTGGATCACTCCCCTTCCTTATTGCCCTTGTTTCATCACGCAGGGTAGCTGATCAAAGAGGCACTCCTGGCGCAGCAGGGCAGCCCAGCTCTCATCAGTTTCCAGCTCTGGACACCCCACCGAGGTGGGCAGCAGCAGGCAGGAAGGAACAAGAGCAGATGGGATGGGGTGCACGTGCAAAGGCTGGCCCCTGTCAGGCAGGGACAGCCTCAGCAGCACAAGGTGGACAGAAGCAGTGTTCTCCTCCCTAACCCCTTGCATGAGGCCCACGTTTGTGCGCTGTGATCCCTCTACACCTCTTTCCAGGTAAAGCAGCAACCACAAAAATGCTTTCGAAGACGGCTGCCTGTATTGTGGCTACAAACAGTGCTGACTTTCCTGTTAACTTCCTCTTGCAACAAGCACAATACACCTCCGGGCTTTTATACCCCTCAACTCACATCCGTCCACTACAAAATCCCTCTGCGTGTCACCGGACCCTGTTTTCCCTCCTAGGGAAGTTCTGATCCCGGTGAGCGTTCCTGCTCTGACAGTGGACAGGAGCCAGCCTGCCTTCCCGGCCCTGGGACCACGCCATTGTCCGTCACAGCCACATCTGTGTGCACAGTCCTGCAAATAACCTGAAAGAAATCTTGGGCTTCTGGAAAACAGAAGAAAAAATTAAACGAGACCCTAATGTATTTTCCAACCTCAAGAACAAATTTATATAACTCTACCAATGACATTTTCAAAGTTCATCCTGTAGTTCCACCTCCCTACCACACACACACAACTTGCAGTGTCTCAAAAACAATCATATGAGAGGAAATGCAGCCACAAAAATTGTAACACGGTTCTTTAAAACCATAGCATAAAGTAGCCTGCTTCATTTTGCCCTTCATATGTCTCTTCTTAAAACACTGCCGTTCTCCTCTCTCTGGAACAATGCAGAAAAATCGTGGGTATATGACATTCACCGAGAGTGACAGGACAAATGGACCCTGACAGAAAAATGCTCAGCTGAACTGTAGTCTCCTGAAGCCTCACTAAAAGTGAGGGAAGCAGAAAGAAAAAAAAAAAAGAAAAAAAGAAAAAAAAAACACACGCAACGCCTCATATTTGTTCCAGGCAGTGAATGCTCACATTCAAGGTGTATCGGTTCCCTTCTCCATTTAAAATTAGTTGGCAGAGAAATAACGTAGGCTGGCCACAATTGTTCCTAACCCCGCGTTCCTTAGTGAGCAGTTAACTAACTCTTACATTGAAAATAAACAGAAATGCCTGCCAGTTCCCAATACATGACACAAACACGCTGGAAGTAGAATGCAGTGTCCGACTGCATTTGGAGAGAGGGGAATTGCATTTTTATACGGCATATGAAGAAATGTCTAGATAATCCTGAGGCCATATGACAATTCTAGATCACAAATGCTACTGCATTGGGCAGGAAAAAGATATTTTCTCAAGCACTGAGAAACCTTAGGTAGAGTTTTAAAAACACCCTACTTTCCAAGGGGTAAATGAACCCCAACAAGGATCAGTTCAGATAGCAGCCCTGCCCTTTGTCCGTCAGTTAGTAAAATGTAGATGATCTAAACAAATAACTTCCTGTTTTAGGAAATGATTCCTGAGAAGGCAAAACAATACTGTCCCACACAGCCGTTTCTTATGGAAAGAATCCCTGGCTAAATAGGGCATTCTTATTCCATCCCCCTGATGGTGAAGTTACATGTGATCCGGGGACACTCTCAGGGCATCTGCTGTGTCCTGGGCATATCGCCATTTCTTCTTCCACCTGCTGCTCTTCGTGACACACAGGTGTCACGCACAAAACAGTCAGCTGGTTAGCAAAGGGCATCCTAATCAGAAGCCAGACAAGCAACATGTACTGTGGTAAGCTAGAAAGCATAACCTCTGTGCTTCGACATCCCTTTCCCCCTTAACATATCGTTCTTCCACAGCTGTGTGCGACTTTCGTTTCATCTAAGAAGAAGAAAATGAAAATTGAAAATGCACTTACTTCCCCCAAACTTTTCCTTTCCAGGTCCACTTTAACCATTCCTGCAGAAAAGAGGCGCGAAGCGAGACTCCCCTTGGTGAGATCTCCTCTTCCAGGAGGAGGACACGGCCCTGTAAGCAGGGGCAGCTTGGGGAGGAGGAAAAGCTGGACTTGGGAGATGAGCAAACACAACCACATAGTGTGTCATCCAGGATATTGTGAGATGGGCTGCAGCTGACCCCCAGGACAGAGCACAGAGCTTTGTGCCGTGGGACTGTTCCCGCTGCAGGGCAGGAGGAAATCTGAACACATGGCTCTGACGTGCCTGCTGCCACACTGACAGCTTCAAGTATGGGGCAGCAACCAAGCAGGGAGGACACTCAAATCTGCAAGGAATTCAAGCAGGTACCTCCCAAAACACTATCTCGTATCGTGTGCTCCCAGGGGCTATCGCATCAAGCAGGAATATTTTTGCTGATGACTGAGGCTGTGGAAAGATACCCAGCAATTACACCAACAGCCCTGCCAGGACTTCTGTTACACAAGCATGGAGTTTTAGTCAGCTCTGACTAAACAACCAGAATTTTTGCTGGCAAAGGAAATTTAGTCCTACAAAGCTTAAAAAGGAACCAGGGAAGTGAAAGTTAGTATCTATGTGACGGCTTGCACATCTCAGAGAGGCAAGCGCAGCAGACTTCAGGAAAGGAAACCAATTTCTACCAAGAAGTACCAGAGGATGTGTCGAGTCTCACAATTCATGCTCAGCAATGTGCTGCCAGCAGGCAGCTTTGATAAGGCCCGGGATTTTCCCATGTTCACTTTTACACTCGCTAAGGTTGGCACGTTTCAGCAGAGACAAATTCTCCGAAGGCCCCTGTGAAAACTCAGCAGTCACAGCCCACGTCCGCAGCGTGCAGCCTTGCACAATCCTTCCTAGGAGCAACAGGCCCGGGAACAGGGAAGGAAGCATGTCAAACGTGCATCGGCACAGCGACATCCACAGAACAAGGAGGAACACGCGGCAAGGCAGCGTGTGGAACTTCCCTTACTGGGAAGTGGAAAAAATGTCACGAGAGAACAGCAGAGATCGTTATCTGAGTTCCCAGAGCCAGAAATATTCCACGCCCATGACTGATGCTCGCCCACCGCCTCCCATGAAGCTGCCTTCCTCCTTCAGCCTCCTCCTCGTTTTTGGAGCCTTTGGGGTCTCTGCAGCTGCCTATTGCCCTCCTCCACCAAAATCTTACCTCTGGACGGCTCTGCTGTCCCGAAGCCTTGGGGACAAGGGCGTGCGGGCAGCGATGGCTCTCATGCCAGGAGCCATGTGGGCAGGGCAGCGCCCTTCAGACCCCAAAAATGAGCTTCGGCAGCCAGAAGCGGGTGACAGAGCGGGCACAGCAGAGCAGGAGGGACTCCTTGTGTGAGGCATACAAAGAAGAAAACACCGATTAACGGCGGAAACCCTCCCAAAAAACAAGCCCACACGAGCAGCCTTGAGCCACAAAGGTGCTGCCAGCGCACACATCTACTGCGCCAGGGCCACATGCTGAAACAGGGACGGGCGGGCAGCGGGCTGGGGGAAAGAGCAGGCAAGGATCGCTGCCGGGCAGCTCCCCCCGTGCCTCAGAGCCCCTCGAGCAGAGCCCACGAGGCCGGGCAAGGAGCAGCCCCCCCCGGGGCCCCCACCCCGGGTCCTCCCGCCCGCTGCGGGGCGCTGCCCGCCGCCGCCCCGCGGCCCCATCCGCCGTGAGATGGCGGCGCAGTTCCGCAGCTACGTGTGGGACCCGGCGCTGATCGTGGCGCAGATGGTGCTGCTGCAGGCCGCCTACTACAGCTCGCTCGGCCTCTGGCTCGCCCTCCTCGGCGCCCTGGGCAGCACCCGGCCCTCCCTGCACCAGGTCTTCAGCGACGAGGTGAGGAAGGGGCTGTCCCGTCCCCACACCCCCACCTCGGGGGAAGCCGTACGGGGCGTAGCGGGCGCAGGGCAGTGCCCGTGGGGTGAGGCTGGCTGCGGTGGGCGCTGTGGTCTCTTACTAACGATGCTGTGCAGATTTTAGGCTTCTCAACCCCGCCCGGGAGGCTCTCCATGATGGCTTTCATCCTCAACGCGCTCACCTGGTAAGTCAGCGAGGCACTGGGGCAGGCGTAGCGCGCCCGTTACGCCAGCGGTCCCCGTGTCTTGTGCTTACTCCTTCATAACATTGAGCTCTGTGAGAATTCAGCGTGGCCACCGCCGCTCTCACACCTCCTGGAAGCCCAGTGCACGTCGCTTGAGGTCAGGTTATTCCCCGTGCCTCTGGTCTGGAGAGGAGGCCAGCTGGGAGCCGCTGGCTCTGAAGGTGACTTGTCCTGATCCCCGATAAGTCATCTCACTTTACTGCCTCAGTTTCCCAGTCCAAAAATGAGTCTTGGTCCCGTGAGAGATATTACTGAACGTTAGAATTAATGAGTCCCAGCAAACACTGGTCTGTAAGCTGTACTGTACTTTGTGCCTGCCACTCGGCAGAGATTACTGGGGGAGATAGCACAGAGAGCCAGGCAGGAATTCTTAAACTAAAAACTCATTTGCCTGCTGTCATATAATTAAAGTGCTGTAAGCCATTTAAATCTTGCTACAGCGTCCGTGAACAACCTATCCTTAAAACAGTTAAGAAGTCCTAAAACGTCTTGATAACTAGCACCAACAATTCCTACTAGATCTATCCCCTTTTCCACAGGCACAGTGCAGCATGATGTTTATTCATCTGTCTTTACTTTGCAGTGCTCTGGGGTTGCTGTACTTCATCCGAAGAGGAAAGCAGTGCCTGGATTTCACAGTCACCGTTCACTTCTTCCATCTTCTGGGCTGCTGGATTTATAACTCGCACTTTCCCTCGACTCTGACGTGGTGGCTGGTGCACATCGTGTGCACAGCGCTCATGGCCGCGATTGGGGAGTACCTCTGCATGAGGATAGAACTCAGAGAAATCCCACTGAATTCTGCTCCCAAATCCAACGTATAAACTTGCTCTGGCAACAACGTGCCGCATTGCATCATTGTTTCCAGCACAAGTACATCTAATGCCTGAAAGTCATCACTGAAGAAGCACAGCAGGTCTGTTTAGACTTTTTTTTTTTTTTTTTTAAGATCTTGGTGACTGCGTGAGTGTGAGCATCTCCTCTGTCATCATCAGACAGCAGGGAGGAGCAGATGTTTATTTTATTAACACAAAGCATTAATGACTGTATGGCAAGTGTGCTCTTAAGCTCTTCATTCATGAGACTGTTAAAAAGCAAGTAGCAAATCTTCATGCGTGAGGAGCACCTGGAATTAAGCAAATGTGAGAGGTCCCTGTATGGGTATTATAGTGGTCAGCTCATCTTGCAGGAGCTGGCACAGTGAGAGCGGGGCCAGGAGCTGCTGCTACCAGGTTGTGAATTCGCATGTGCTTTCGTTGGAAAGAAGTGAATGGATGGGGGAAAGAGAACATAACTGTACTTAATGTGAATCACCAGCTGAGACCCTAAATAACCTATAATCTTAGATGGGTTTGTTTGCTGTTTCCATGTTTAATACATAGAGATGTCAGACAGCAGTTTGCTGAAGAAATCTTTTGTAATAATAAAGGTGTTATGTTGCTGCGAGCGTGTTACTGGGAAGCTAAGCACTTCAAGAAATACCATGAATGTCTGCATTGTGGCAACAGAAGTATCTGGGCAAATCAGGCAGCATAATGCTTCAGAAAGCGTGTCAGCAGCCCGGGGCCTCCACATGCTTAGTCCTGGGCTGGGGCTGTTTTGGGGGAAATCTGCAGAAGTTTCTATAGCCACACTACCCTTCCTAGTTGCCTGGGTCTTCCTGTCAGGCCTCAAAAATCTAGCAGCATAGGCAGTCTGGTTGAGGTACCATTTATTCAAGTAAGAAACCTCTACTTGGTTCTCAAAGTGTTAGGATGCACGGTCAGTTAGAGATGCTTCCAAAAATCTCACCTGTTGGGCTACCACAAACAAAAACCTTACAGCCAAAGGGCAGACCTGCATCTCGTGTGCGGCCTGCTAAGGGCTGTTTTGCTTGTGAGATCCCAGAAGAGGGCAAAGCAAGTCCTAAAGAAAGACTGTTCTCCTGTGCAGCTTCTTGCTGCAGTAACTTTCCTTTGTATGTCGATGTTTGTAAATGCCAATTTGTGTAAATTATTTGCTAATTTAGTTTGTTGAGAGTTGATGGGATGATTTGAGGTTGATAAACTCTCTTCAAAGTTGCTCTTTTGACTTTTATTACTAGTGAGAAACTGTTTCTATTTGTGCTCTATCCAGATACTATGGATTCAGGCGGGGTAAAATGCTGACATTAAGTATTTTGGGGGGTTGCAGCAGAGAAGGAAGGATTGATGGCGTCATGTGTTTAGGCAGAACTTTTTGTAGTCTGAGATTTCACCAGTACCTACTGCTAACTAAACCCCATTTAAGCTCAGTCTTAGTCCCCCTGTTGCTAACCAAACCCCCTTTAAGCCCAGGTTTTAGTCCCATCATGAGTATAGCAGCAGTTTTTCAGAGCAAAAAGTCTACAGAAGTTTTTCTTTACAGGAGCCAAAACTTTCTGGAGGGCCCCCCTGAGGTAGTTTCTTACTACTTCCCCTCTAACCCTGCTGTGAGCTCAGCAAGACACTTTTATCCCTCCTTAAAACCTGCTGGTTTCTCCCATATGAGGATACCTTGCCTTCCTTCCAGTCCCATTCAGCCCAGACATGAACAAACTGGTGCTTGGTCTTCCAGTAGGTGCCAGTATCTCCTTCAGAAACGAGACCCATGCAAACGGTCACGGCACACAGCACAGAGCATGCTCTGCCTTGGGGCTGCCAAACACTGGCTCGCTACCATCCGTTGTATTTTCAGACTCTTTCAGGGTCATTTTGTCCTCTACTGCTTTTTGTTGTTAGTATTGAGAAGGAATGTCCCAGCCCTGTGCAGGGAAGGTTTGCAGGTTTAGTTCAAGGCTGAATACCACACCAAATCCCAGTGCTCCTTAGGAATGATCTCCAGGCAACTGTGGAGCAGAGGACTGGGTGAGTGAATATAAGTGAGCACATGTAAAGGAGAGAAGTCACACTAGTCCCATCCCTTAAAGGAGAACAGACAGCAGATCCCAGGGTTGCTGTGAGACTGTGTAAAGAGGTGCTAGCTTTGTTCCCCTGGAGGAACAGGGATGAAGACTCCGGACCAAGGAACACTTATCTCCTTACTTTGTGTGCATAAGATATGCTTCGACTGCTTTTCACAGGCATCCTTGCAGGGGGATCCGAAGTTTCAGTGCAGCATTGTGTCTGGGGACACTTGGGCAGAGCAAGGACACAAGATGACTCGACAAACCTGGATCCAACACCAAGGCCGTGGGACATCCAAGCACGCTGCAGGGTTAGAGGTGCTTGCTTTAAGCAGGCTCCCTTTGAGGGATCAATCTGTACACTGCTTTTTATTTTTATAAAGGAAATATACCATAGCTGTCCTAATCATAGGGGAAGTTCTGCTGAAAAATTACGTACTAATTAAGGAGAAAACCTCTGAAATTAGTCACTCCCATATTGTGAAACCTAATTATCACTTGTGTGCATTGTCAGGTCTCCACAGCACCTTTGGCTTTAAAATATTCTGCTGCTCCATACCTGAATGGTGGCAGATGGTCTTTGTTTCTTAATGAATTTTTTTGTGTGTGTGCAGTGGAGTTGATTTTGCTTTCAGGGAAGATTTTCCCCAACACCTGCTCTTCTTAGAGACAGTGGTAGTATCTGCTAGCTATCTGCACCCAAGGTTTGCAAAAAGCTCTCTGGGTTCTTTGAGATCTCTGCTGCAACTTCTACATTTTTCCCCCTCCAAAGCCATTTAAAAGTACAAAATTTTAAGAGAAGGTGCCAAAAACCAAAGAGAAGTTAAGGAAGGGTAATTCTGACAGGCTTATTTGTTACCCTAAAGGCATTAAACACCTACCCTAAAGATGAATCAGGTGCAGTTTCTGGATTCAAAAGACTCCAGCCTTGGCTGCATGCAATACTCACTGCCTCAGCTTTCCCCCGATGCAAACAACAGGCTGGAAAAAAGGTAATGGGGGGAGAGTGGATCAAGCAACATACGTTGTTGGAGCAGAACAGAAAGGAAACCGAAACAGGCTAAACCAGACCACTGCAGAGCCTGGACTGAGGCTTTCTCCCCTACGAATCATCAGGCTCTGTGCCAGCGATGCTGAGTCCATAAGTGGTGGCTGCAGACAGCCTGTTTAACCTTGCGCTGAAGTGCTGGCTGAACACCAGCTGCTCCTCACCAACTTACTGCTTGGAATGTGCCTCCATCCATTCCTTCCCTCCTGGAGGGGAAGGAGAGGTGATAGAGCAGGTAAGAGCCCAGGAGTGCCCGGAGAGGAATGTGAGCTGTCGTTAAGGAGCCCTGAACCACCTGTTCCCTTACAGAGAACACAAGTGCCTTGGTAAGTGGCCAGTCTGTGCAAACAGCCAAAGTGATGTGCTTAGGGGAGTCAGACCAAAACATCCTCTTAGTCAAACACTGACAATTCAGGTCTGATGAAAGACGCAGCTGGGTCCCTTAATTAGGGCATGTAGTTCACAGCCACATCCAGCTGTTGAGCCCTAATTTAGGGCATGATGAAACCAGACCTTTCCCCATTCAGGAGCAGCAGCACCATATGGGGAGCACACTGGAGCAGCAGGAAGACCCAGCAAGGCTCACAGTGCTCTTCTTAGCGAGGGGCTGGCCCCAGCCCTTCACAGGGACAGGTAACAGCCCCGTGCTGTGCCTCCAGCTCCCGTAACCCTGTGCAGTAGGGCAGGGCACAGAGCTTCATCAGCATCCTTACAGCACAGCTGCCTCACACTGCCCTGTAACTGAGCTTTCACAGCACACCCAGGAGTCACACGCAAGCACCCCTCTGTCGAAAACACTTTTTATGCTTGTACCACAGTTGCGAAGGAAGCTGGAAGGGACTGCTTTCAAACAAGATGCAGGACAAATAGCCTCAGCCTGTACAACAAGATTTAATTCTCTGGAATTACACAGAGTTACCCACAGAGCTGCTTACAGGTACCATTGGGAAAAGCTGTAAAGCAAGAGTTACCATAAATACATTTTTAAAAGGTAGCTTCTCCTCACAAGTACTTTTGCCTTTCCATTTCCTTAGAAAAGGGATTTACACATAATACAGGAGTTACTCAGGAGTCCAGATGTGTGCTAGTGAAGAAGTCATGCACCTGTGATTATTCTTTAGTGGGTTTTCAAAGTGTCCTCAGAGACAGATGGCCAGTACCTCTATGCTGGTGGCAGGACATACACCATCCCCAGCACCTCACAAATACCAGGTGTGAAAATTCCCATCTAATTTTCAGTGCCTAAGTCAAAAGTCGGAGGAGTTGATCTGGTGGAAGCAGGCAGCTACACAAACAGGTTTCCATCCAATAACCATAGAAGAGTGCAAAAGAATTCAGCGTTCACAACCGATTTCCCATTTTTCCCCAAGTCCTCCATCCCACGTGTACAGTCCACAAATTCTGCAGGCAGCCAGAGCCACGCCTGCGCCTTGAGGCAAAAGGGGGACAAGCATTATCCCAAATTACAGAGGAACAAAAACCCACAAGACGCTGCCGAGCTCTTCCATGTCTCAGATACAGGACAGCGCTGAGCGTTCACTGAGCACCACACATTGCAGTCCTCAAGGGTTTGGAGCAGAAAATAATCAGAAAGGTGCCACGATGCGCTGCCCCCACCTCTGCTGCGGTACTTACAGAGCTGCGGGTCCTGAGTTCAGCCAAGTGACGATGAGGGGGATGCCGAGGACAGAAAGTTTGGGAACCTGGGTCCAGGCAGAGCTCTGGGCCGTGCTGGGGCTGCAGAGGTCAAACAAACTGCCTCGAAACTTGACCTTCTGGGACTCCCTCCTCAGCATCTCCCAGACAGCCGCTGCTTCCTTCTGGCACTCCCAGAGCACGGTCAGGGCACAGATGTGAAATTCATCCCAGTACCTGCAGCCCGGAGACATCGCCGTCAGTCCCTCTGTGTGGTGAGGCCCAGGAGCCAGGCAGAGCCTCGCTGCCCGGTGCCGGCCCTGCAAGCTGCAGCCTCAGGATCTCTGACCAAGTTGTGGAGCTGTTCTCACCCCACAGCTGGGCAGGAGCCACGCGAGGAGCCCTGGCCCTACAGCCCTTCACTGCTTCCTCCTTCCCCACACCATCACCCATCCCCTCCGCAGTCCCTCAGAGCATCCTGGCTAAACTTCCAAACATTACTGACATTATTTTTTTCCCTTGCAAGTCAGTAAAACCCATTATTTTTCAACGTGTTTCCTTTCAGCACTGAGCACCCTGAGCATCTGAAACCGCGGTCAAAGGCCCAGCACACTTCATTTATGGCTTCCTTCAGGCTGACGCAGGGCAAAACACAGGCACGGAGAGGGGAACAACGGCTCCTGCAGCCTCTCACGGATTTATAAATAACACATCAGCAGAGGCTGGGGAGTTGTGTTCTCATTAGACACCTCTCAGTATTGTCCTGCACAAACAGAAGCCGTTCAATGGCAAGAGACTTCTGAGGAGCTCCAGAAACAGAAACACAAAATAGGCACGGGTCTAGAAAAGGTGCAGCGGGTGCCAGCAGCCTGCAGGCCCGACCCCGCTGCTTCTGCCCAGACCTCTCCGGGCTTTCTCCTTTCCCAGATCTCCTTCTTATCTGGGACCCCGTGCCGGAGATGACACCTTCGTCCAGGCAGGCAGGAGCACTTCCTTTATTTAGTTTTCTTACCAGGCTTACGTCAAAATGCCAGCTGTGATCGAGTTCATTAAACAGAGTCACTGTGGCAGAATAAATATCCTGAGATAATGAGAGCCCGGTGCCAACCCAGGCAACCCCTCGTGTTCGCTCCCGAGCTGCTGCCGCTGCCCCGGGCAGCTCTGCCAGGAGAGGGTTTAGCCTGGCTTAAATATTTGGGCAAAATGTGGCTGGGGGAAGCAGCTCCAGCCTCCTTCTGCTTTCAGCAGGATTCACAGTCCCTGGTCCTTCACCCTTCACAGCCTCCATCTGTTCAGGTTGTGGTCAGGCAGGGAAGTACCGCGCACGCAGAGCCGAGGTGCCGACACCACTGACACCTCTCATCCCCATTCCCGACCCACGATCCCGGGGAGGGGAGCACGGTGCCTTCCATGGGCGGGCAGACAGCAGCTGAGGAGGGTAGGGGTTAAAGGCCGTCATTCAGAAATATTTCCCGGCAGGATAATGGGACATCAGCTTTTTCCTCCAGCCGCAGCAAGCCCAGCTTGCCACGCACCGCCACCTGCCCACCAGGACCAGCGCAAGGAGTCGGCTTGTCCAGGAAGGTCCCATCCCAAGCCCCAATTCCCAGGTCCTGTTCTTTCCTATTTAGTGCCCCAGAGCCTCTTGAAAACCTCTTACACTTCATTTCATGCTGTGAGTTTCAGCAGAGAGCGATCACGCCTCCGGCAGCCCCCCAAGCACATGCTGAGCCCCACACACGGCTGCTTTCTGATACCAAGGAGCCGCTCACACCACAGCCTAGGAAAAGCAGTTCTCATTTCAGCCCCCCTCTCCCACTGCATCCCAGGGAGGCATTTCATCCTAAGCTAGGTGGTCTGGAGGAGAGGGAAGCAAGGAGGAGCAGGACACAGCCAGCTCCCCATCAGCAGGGTTTCTGTCAGGGGAACACATTCCCAAAGCGAATAATTAGAAATGAAAGCACTGAGGGTAGCTAATTCTCGGTTCTTTTACCTCTTTCATTACTATTCTGGGTCTCCTACAGTTAACGCCCTCCCAGCACTGCAGTCATGCAAAATACCAGGGGCAGGTGGCAATTCCAGCCCGAAAGATGATGGGTTGGGAAGGGAGGGAGGCAGCGAGCCCGCCTGGGGCTGCAGCACCTAGCTGGGGGCAGCCTGCCTCCCGCAGCCAGGTCCTGGCACCTCCATCCAAACACTTGGGGATCCAGGTCAAGCCCTGCCAGCCCCACACCTGCAGGGGGGTCACGGCACAAGTCCTGGGGGCTGGAGCTATTTTTAAGGGCTGGGGATGCAGACTCTGCCCGGAGGTGGATGGAAGCAGGGAGCTCTCCCCATGTTTGGGGTCGGAGGGCAGCAGGGTGCGTGCACGGAGGGATCCAGGCCCACAGCAGCACGGAGGGGTGCTGGATGTGTGCCCCCAGTCACCCAGCCCCTGCCCTCCCAGCGCTGCTGGAGAGCCCATGAGGGTCCAGGGCCCCATCCCACCCCCCCAGAGACCATCCCCAGGGGGTGGGACACACAGGGGGTCCCGGCACGGGGCCGTACTCACCCACAGACCCGGTGCAGCCCCTGGGGCTCGATGCTCTCCTCCTCCTTGTACGTGGCCATGTTCTCCCCCAGTTTCAGGACGCAGTCCGAGAAGCCTCGGTAGACATCTGTGCATGCCGTGCCCAGCGCCCGGTGCCCTGCCAGCCCCCGAGGGGACAGAGCGAGCTCAGAGACCTTTGGGGACGGTGCCCACCTCCCTCCTGGGGCCACCAGGGCAGGGCAAGCTCCCCTTTCTGAGCGGGGGGCATGCAAACCACACACCCATCGCTTGTTTCCCAGTCCTGCCTGTTTTAGGGGGTGCTCAGAGAAATGATGTGGGGGGCAGCCTGGGTGCCTCCCTCTCTGCCTGCCCTGCTCAAGCTGAGGACAGGAATAGGGGGGTGCAGCCAGCGAGGAGCCCCCAGAGAAAAGCCACAGGGCAACGACACGGAGAAGAGGCAGGGGACCCCCACCAGCATCCCCCCACACACCAGCACGGGACCCTGCCCCTGCCCAGAGCCCCCAAACCCAGCCCGGGCAGCACCTCCCCGGCTCCAGCACCCGCACCCCAGCCGGGGCAGCCCCCCACCACCCGCCGGGGGTCGCAGCCTTACCCAGGGCGATGAGCAGGACGAGCAGCACGGCCGTGCCCCGCCGCTGCCCCATCCCGCAACCCCAATCCTAATCCTAATCTTAATCCCGTGCCGGTGCCCCCCATGGCCGCCAGCGCTCCCCGCCCCAGCTCCGGCCGCAGCTAATTAGCGGCTTTGACCACGGGTAATTAATGAGGGGGCCGGACCGCCGCTAATGAGCACCTGGAGGGGGGGCAGCCCGGCTCCTCGGCGCACCCCTAGGGCAGCGCCCCCCGGATCTGCGCGGCTGCCGGGGCAGAGCCTGGGGGGGGGGGGAGGCATCCCCCAGCCCCCAGCCCGGCCCTTTCGGACCTCCCCCGGCTGGTTCCGCACAGCCCCCGGCTGGGGTCGCCCTGCCCCTTTCCCGGATCCCGAAACCCGTCCCCTCCTTCCCTCCATCCCTCCATCCTTCTCTCCTCCCCTCTCTCCATCCCTCCCCAGCCGCTCTCCGCGCCCCCGCCCCGTGCGCTCCGGGTGCTCCCTGCTGGCTCGCCCCCCTCGCTGCCGAGGCAGTCCCCAAAATCCCCCCCTTGCCCCGTGTCCCCCGGGGCTGCAGCTCCCAGTTCTCGGCCCCAGGGCATGAGGAGGTCGCCGCCGCCCTGCAGCAGCCGCAATCCGGGCAGCCCCTTGTAATTTCGCAAGGCCAAACGTTAAACAGAGACCTGAGTGCGTGTGGGTTCAAAGCCCGAAATTTCGGCCCCTGCAGCTATAAAGTTTTCTCTGCTGATCCTGGCACCGGCAGTTCCCATCTCGGCAATGTCCTGGAGGGGATCGTGCGGCTGTTTGCATCCTTACAGCCCTGCCCTGGCTCCTGGCCAGTGAGTGGCTTTTCTTTACCCCAGTGGCAGCAGTTTCCTGGCTGCTTTGGTGACACCGCTCTGGGGACTGGGCACGTCCCAGCTCACAGCCCGGTGGCAGCTCTGCCCCTCCATTGATCCTGCCGGAGGATCAGCCCACCACCTCCTCGCACAGGAGATGGGTGAGGATTTTCTCTCCTTCTCCAGGCTGGAGAGATGGGGATAGCTGGGCTTTGACCTGCGAGGCTGGTGGGAAAATGCTGCCGTGCTCCCCAGAAGGAAACCCAGGGGAGCAGAGCCCTGCAGCTGCTACCTCTGACTGTGTGAGGCTCCTGACCCCAGCCAGGCATCCTGGGGACTGCTGGTCCCTGAGCCCAGCAGGGGCATTGCTTTTCCAGGTGCCTGGTGATGGGGTGCACGGAGGGAAGATTTCCAGCCCCTCTGCACGCAGGCATCACCCCCGACGTCTCCATCCCCTCGAATCCAAAGTGGAACCCACCAAGCGGCAAACACGGCGGGACGCCAAACCAAACACAACTCCCGGGCAGAAAGTCTGGGTCAGGGAGATGCAGCTCACTCCCTTTATTCACAGCACAAGGGCTCACCCCACAGATCTCCTCTCGGGAGCTCACCTCCTGCTCCTCCCAGCCCCGAACCTCCGGCAGCCCTGGAAGGAAAGCCAGCAGCACAACCACCTTGCTAACGAGCTGGGCCTTAACAGGGGTCCCCGAGGTGGAAAGACTCCTGCCCAGCCAGCAGGGCATGCTGCACCTTGGGGTTCGTACCGATGGCAGCGGCGCCTCGCCCTCACTGCGGGTAGCGGATGGTGAGCGTGTGCTCCAGGCTCTCGCCGCAGGAGCGGGTGCAGCAGGGTTTGACCCAGCGCTGGGCCGACGGCCGGCAGAGCACTTTGGGGGCCGGCAAGTGGAAGCGCTGGGGCAGGGTCCCCAGCAAGTCCTTCTTGGCCTCGCCAGCCCCCTGGTCCTTGGCGAGCGGCTGGGGATCCCCCGGCGGGGTCCCCGTCTCGGGGTCCATGGGCACATCCTTGCTGCTGGTGGTGTTGGTTGCTGGGCTGCCAACGGCCTCCTCCGTGACCTCCTGTGGCTTTGGTGTGAGGTGGCACATCCTGCGCCCAAATCCAAGAAGAAGAAGGGCGCGTTTGTCCTGCCCTGGGCAGCCCAGACAGCCCCAGGGCATGGCTCAGCGCGGTCCCATCAAACAGCCCGCAGGGACGGAGCACAGAGGGAGAGGCTCTGGAGCACAGGGAAGTGCCTGTGCCGGGCCACCACGGGCTGCAGTGCCCATGGGGTGCAGGGAGCGGGGTGTTTTGGTGCACCCCAGGCTGGCCCTGAGCCCAGACCTCCGGTATGGCTGAATCCAGCACCCTCCCCGCCCACCCCAAACCCACCCCTGATTCGCATCCCCGCAGTTCATCCCCCTTTAGCTCTTCCTCACCCCTCCAAATCTGTGCCTTCGCGTGGCAGCCAAGCAGGGCTGGGGGCGCGGGGCCCCCTCTGCCCCCCGACCTACCTGGGAGGGAGCGGCAGGAGGCCGGGCAGCCCCTGCGCCGCCAGCGAGTGCCAGCACTGCACGGCCACGGCGTGCAGCCGCAGGATCCTGCGGTTCGTGCGCTTCAGCAGCCTGAGCAGCGACAGCTCCTTCAGCACCTGCGGAGCGGGGCGGGCAGGGTGAGCACCCCTCCGAGCACCGCAGCCCCCCACGCAGCCCCGCCGCAGGGACCCTCACCTTGCGGAGGTGGCTTTTTGGATCCCTGCTGCCCAGTGGACGGGGCTGGTCCCCCATGTCTCCAGCCTGGGAGAGGGAAAGTCAAGGACAAGACAAGGTTAGGGTTAGGGCTAGGGGTTAGGGTTAGGACTGGGGTTAGGGATGGGGTGGTATCGAGCTCGTCCCGGCAAGCAGCACCGCAGGCTTGCACTCCCTGGGGACGCGGGGACGTGTCCCCACAAGGCAGAGGTGCGTAATTTGGGTAACCCAGCAGGGGCTTCTCCCAGCCCATGGCATTGCCCAGGAATGTCCCCACGATGGTGGCCGGGGGGGGCACAGTGCCATGCCGTGGGGCTGTACCTCCTGTGGGGCAGCTGGCTCCTTTTTCGGATGGCAGTGTAGGGCCGCAGGGTGAGTTGCTGGGGCAGCGGCAGTGGGGGACGAGGGCTGGGTTGTGCTTGGAGCTGGTGGTGGCAGCGAGGACAAGGGCTGTGACCTCACGCCTCTGTGACACCAGAGCCCCAGTCTCAGCGCCCAGCTGCACAAAGGGGACCGGGGACAATCCTATAATGGGGGACACAGCTTAATGGGGAGTCAGCTCGGGTGACACAGCTCAAGACGTGGCTGGGAGTGGGGCTCCCCTTCCCTTCATGGGGTATGGGAAAGCTGCAGGACCCCCCTGCTCCAGCTGGGCCCAGGCAATTGGGCAGGGACAGCCCGGGACACCGGGGTGGGGACAGGGGAGCTGCCAACCTGCCCGTGGATGTCCTCGAGCAGATCCTGGGGACAGCGCGGGTGCATGGAGCAGCTCCAAAGGGCAGAAGGGACGGGGCACAGGGCCAGGTCTGCAGGTGGAGGGTCATCCCGTTCCTTCCCCCGTCATCCCACAAGCAAGAGAACCTGAGTAGGGCCAATGCCAGCAGTCCGGGTACAGCGCTGGGGGAGATTTGCCCACATTTACCTGTGCCCCACTGTTTTGTGTGCAGCAGGACACGGCTGCACCACCACGGGCTTCATTCAGGCGAGGAGCTGAGCCCAGTGCACCCGGAGACCTGCCAAGGAGAGCACAAAACCACTGCCACCAGCAGCTTTGGAGGCTGCCTTGTGGGGGGGTGAGCTATAAAACCTTGTTGTGGCTGAACTGAGACCTCATCGCGTTTGTGTCCATACGTGAGCACGCGTGCACGCTTCACACATTTCAATCCCCGATGGCATCTTCCCATTTGAAGCTCTCCCTTCCTCCCTCCTGCCTAGAGAGGGGGAAAACCGAGCCGTGCAGGGACCAAGAGGCTGGTGGGAAGCAGCAGGGCAGAAGCAAGCAGCTGTCCCTACCTTGCACAGCGATCCTCCTCTGCAATCCTGGCTGCGAGCATCCCTCCCAGCCCCACGGTGCCCTCAGCTCCTTGGGGCTGGGGCTGCCTGACCCCACTGCGGTGACGGGGCAGGCACCCACGGCGAGCCCTGCTTCCCCCCGGCCCTGCCGCCCACCCAAAATCAGCATCTCCGCGTGCTTCCCCGCCGCCGTCCCCGGCTCTCGGTACCCAGATGAGTGTGAGCAGCGCCTTGCCAGGCCGGGGAAGGTGTTTTCACCCAGCCGTGTGTAACCACAACACAGCGACAGAGAAGGTGGCTTAAATGTCACTGCTGGAGGAGGCTGTTTCGGCTGCTCCTCCTCCCACTTTCCCTGCCGGCTGAGCAGGGCCCGGGTGGGTGTCGGGACCCCGAGCTGCCGGGATGGTTTTGGGAACGAGGACACACCCCGGGATGCCCAGCCCTGGTGCAGCACCAGCTCCATGGGCTGTTTGCAGGAGTCCCCGGGGCCACCTCCTCTCCCCAAGGGTCCTCACATGGCAGCATCCACGGGGTCACCATGCCGCGGGTGCAGCCCACCAGCATCCCCATCCACCTCCATCCCCAGCCCCTTTCCCACCCTGAGGGCTCAGCTCGGGGGGGTCACAGCCCCACAACCCATACCTGGAGGGTCCCACGTCCCCTCCTTGGCTGCCTCGGGAGGAGGCGGTGAGAGCAGGAGCGCTGCACGAGGCAGCCTCCCACGCGGCCCGCGGTGACCTTCTCCGCCGCACGCAGTGCGCCCCGGTGCCCCGGCAGACAGGGCGGCTCGTGCACCCTCTGGCTCCCACTTGGCTCCCCCCAGCAGGTAAGGGCTGCTCCGGCTCCTGGCCAAGGCGGGGGGCTCTGGTTTGGGGCAGGGAATGGGGAGCGGGGGGCTCCAGGCAGGAGGTGATGGGGTGTCCAAGCTGTTTGGGGGAGCAAAGTGCTTTGGGGGAGAGCCTGGAGCTCGGCAGCGCCGTGCTGAGGTGAGCAGGAGGGTGAGGGAGCATCGCCTGGTTTGGGGGGTGTGTGTGGTTTTGCACCCATCTGGGCACCCAGGGTGGCTGTCCCTGCCAAGCTCCTGTCCTCCCCCAACCCCACAGACAGCAGGGAGGTCGCAGACCCCTTCCCATTTTGCCCAGCCCTCACGGTGCTCTGGCACAGCTCTGCTCCAAGCTAATGGGACTGGTCCCAGGCACCAGGGCAGAGATCCTGCTCCCCCCAACCCCCTCGCAGCCCCTGGCCAGGCCGTGCCCTCACCCTGCAGCCGTGCAGAGCAGCTGTGGAGGGCACAGCACCCACCTGGTGCTGGCTGGGGGCTGCCGCAGGCACGTCCAGCTCGGAGATGTCACCCGCCTGGGGCCAGCTGTGCTGCATTTCTGTTAAGCCAGCTGAGTTTTAAAGCTGGTGTTGTGCAGGGAAAAAAATAAAATTAAATTAAAAAAATCATGATTATGGCAGAAAAGAGCACCCCTGAGTGGCCGGGCTCTGTCACTAACCCTTGCTGCTTGTGTAGCCCCCGTGAAAGTAAAAGGAGCCGGGGTGGTTTCCCCGGCGTGGGCAGCCAGCCAGGGCTGGGAGCCGAGCGCAAGGGGAGAGCCGTGGGGGTGGCGGGGCTGTGGGGCTGCGGCTGGCATTCAGAAAATCAGAGAAATCACTCAGCACCAGCTGAACCTGCTGCTTTTTGGCAGCTCCAGCCCAGCTTCAAAGGGGCTCAGCCTTGCTCTTGCATCTGTTCTGCCTCCCGGTGCCGCTGCCTGACCCTCTAGGGGTCACATCGGCCCCAAGCCCTACGAGGGGCTTCCCTTGCCCCCTGCCACCCCTCCCCAAGCCCCCCACGGGAGCCCTGAGCTGTCACGGTGAGATGGGGACGGAGCCAGCCCAGCCCAGCCCCAGGGCCTGATGCTCCCCTGCTATGTGACCGATGTCCCCAGCAGGGGATTACTGCCAGCCTCCCGGATCTGTGCCACTTCCCAGCCCCGTAACCCCGCTCCTGGTGCTCTCCTAGATGCTCCAGCTCTCCGAGCCCCACGGGTGACGCGGTGCCTCCGGGACCTGCCCGCAGCAGCCCCACAAAATGCCCCAAGAATCGGAGCTGCCGGAGGGTGCCGAAAGCAGGACCGTCACGGGGGGGCTCAGCCTGCCCCCGAAGAAGAGGGAGATGACGGCGAGGAAGGCGCTGCCGGCCCCGGGCAGCCCCAGGCCCTGGGGCTCCACAGCAGCTCCAGGAGCCTGGGTGCTGCCGGGGGGGCCCAGGGCTGCCTGCCCCTCGCCCCAGCATCCACCCAGCATGAGGCCGGTGGCTCCTGCGGGCACCCAGCAGCCGTGGGCACGATGCGCCCCCCCTGGGCACAGGAGGGACCCTGGTTCCATGATGGGCACGGCTGATGGGGCAGCAGGGGGCTGCCCGCAGCCCCTGGGCATCGCCACCGCCTGCGGAAGGGGCTGGGACCCCCCCCGAGGCTGTCCCGGGGCCAGGAGCTGCCTGCACGCCCCAGCCTGGATGTCCCCGAGCGGGCAGCACGGGGACAGGCAGGACATGGGGATGGGGACGGTGGGGGCCCTGCCAGGGCTCTGGTCTGCTGCCAGCCCGGTGGCACCAGCTGGGGGCACAGAGCCGGGCGGGGGGCTCCCCTCGGTAACCCCATTGCCCACAGGCAGTGTCCCCAGGGCACGGCTGTATTACGGACTGGCAGTGGGCACGGGCGAGCCGAGCAGGGCAGCTGCCAGCCTGCACGATGCCAGCGTCCCCCCCAACACCCCAAACCCCTCGGAGTCCCCCAACCCCTCACCTCCACCTTCCACCAGCGCTGCCCCTCTGCAGCCCCCTCCCAGGGCGGCTTCCCCGCAGGGGACAGGCGAGGAGCAGCCCCCCACTGGCTCAGGGACTGTCCCCATGACACCCACCCCACTGTCTGCCCATATTCCCACCACCCCAGGGCTGCCCCCCACGGCACCATCCCACGCGTTGCTCTACTCCCGGCCGCTCTGCCCCGCGGTCTCGTACCGGCGGTGCCAAAACCCAGCCGGCACCGGGGGGCTCTGGGCCATGCTGCTGCCCATCGCCAGCACGCCCGTGGTGCTGCCCCACTTCCAGAGGGGCTCCCTGGCGCTGCTGCCCGGCGGCGAGCAGAGGAAGGTGGAGGAGCTGCGGGAGGAGGATTTCCTGCGGTGCGCGGTGGCCGGCAGCGAGCTGTGCATCAGCTCGTGCGTGGTGCGGGGCATCCAGAGGAGCTCGCACGCCGGCTTCGCCTCCCTGCGGGTCTGCCTCGGGGAGCAGGACGGGCAGGTGAGGGGCTGTCCCCTGGGACGGGGATCCCCACGTCCCCAAACTCATAGGGCCATTCCCTGTGCTCATCACCCAAAGGAGCCGCCTGGGCTTTGCGAATATATTTCCCCAAAAGCTCTGCGCCTCCAGGGGCTGGCAGTGAGGGCTGCCAGGTGCAGGGAAGCGGGCAAGGCTCCGTCCTGCTCTGCGTGGAGGGAGTGGGGGCACAGGGGAGAGGCAGGCCAGGCTGCCTGGTGCCACCTACATGTCCCCAGCCTCATCCTTAGGGGGCCTTTCCAAGCATCAGCCCCAGAGAGCTGAGAGCGCGCAGGCAGAGCAGGACCAGCCAGCCCTGGCACCCTAACCCTGGAATCGGTGGCTTTCCTTAATGCCAGGCTGGCCCCGGCCCTACAGAGGAGAGGGTCAGAGGCCAGGGAGGGCTGAAACGGGTGAACTCCAGCTCCACCACCAAGCTGCTGCATGGCCTTGGTCACCTCTCCTGTTGTGGGGTGGAAAGAAGGAGCTGTGGGGTGTGCTGGGGCTGTGGGGTTTGTGGAGGGCAGCTTGGGGAGCCTCGCAGCCTCAGGAGGCTGCCCTTCAGCTGTGGGGCAAGCAGGGGGTGCCTGGTGGCATTGGGGCTGCTCCTGATGCAGGCCCTCTCCTCGCCCTGCCCAGGTCTCCGTGGAGGTGCTCCAGGAGTTCCCCTTCTTCGCCCGGCACCGGGGCTGGGTGTCCTGCTGCCCGCACAGGACCTGCCAGCTCTACCAGCTCCCGTGCCAGCAGCTGGCCGTCGGGGACATCTGCATGGTGTGGAGCCCCAGGAGGCAGGGACACGACACCCACGGGGCTCAGCGAGAGCCTCCTGGGGACCGCTAGCCCTGGTGGCCACCATGTGCCCCCAGGGGGCACGGGCAAGGATCCTGCAGGGCCGGGCGGTGCAGCCCCTCTCCCCCCGCCGAGCTGGCCCCCGCGCTGTGGGGATGCTCGTTTCTCAGCAGCCACATTCCTCCCAGGGTGTTTATGGCTTTGCTGTCTCCCCGCTGTCCTGGACTCAAATCTCCCCTTTTAAGGGAGCCTCGGGAACTCGGTCGCTGGAGTTTCGCAGGCTGCTCCCTCGCAATTCATTGCCTCAGGAAAAAAAAATAAATTAAAAAAAGAGCCTTGTTTTTCTCTTTGCTCCACAATGTACTGAGCGAGTCAAGCTGCGTCTCATTCCCAGCGCTGCGTGTAACGAATAAGATCTATTTTCACCTCCCAGTGATTCACCTGCCTGGCACTAGCTCACCTTTCCCTTAGCAGCTGTCTCCCCGCGCAGCTCCATCCTCGCCTCCCGCCCCGCAGCACCCTGACTCACCTCCTGTTTTCTACAGCCCTGTAATCGAAGGGAGAAACCTGACCGGGAGCGGCAGGAGGAACGAGTCACGTTGCGTTTTCTCCTGGTGACGGGCACGCTTTGATGCTGGCTTCCCCGGGGACCTTTGGCAGGAGCTGAGCTCTGTGTCCTGGAAAGAGGATGTGTCATTTCCTACCTGTGCTGGCGACCCGCATCTCCAGGGGACACCTCCCAGGGACCTGGGATTGCAGTGAGGGCGAGTGCTGGTGACACACGGCAATGCCATGAGCCTGCACCCGCGGCACAAGCGAGGCAGGATGCTGCTGCGGGTAGGGGCAGACCCTGCGGGTATCTCCCTGGGGCCGGCGAGGCTCGTAGCAGGGAGCCCGGGGAACAAGTGGAGACTCTCCACCACCTTCAGCGTCCCCTCCGTCCCCTCCTGCCTTTTGGCCGGGGGCAGGCACGCCTGGCTGGGAGCAACACTCATTACGTGGGGCTGGCTTGGCTGCGTGCGTATAATGGGACTAAAATGGGTGCCCCGCTGCGCAGCACGGCTTGTGCTGAAGAGCTGGGATGAGTCAGTCTCCGTGCGGGTGATATCAGAGCTTCTCCAGCCCCCTCCTCGCCCGGCGGGACGGAGGGGACGCAGCAGCGGGGTGCCCGTGTGCGGGGTCTCTCGGCGCTGCCGGTGCCGTCACCACCGTGGGGATTTGGGGAGCCGCAGGGAGCTGGCGAGCACAGAAACTGCCTCAATGCCTCGCCGGGGAAAGCGGTGCCAATCGGCGCAGACATCTCACATAGCAGAGACCTGAGCTAATTCCCTGGCCCTGCCTCTCGCCTCCCCGCCGGCAGGGCCGGGCAGGGCCGAGGGGTCAGCAGCAGGGAGAGCTGATGCTGGAGCACGCTGCCTGGACGCGTGCCAGGGTTCGGAGCTGGGGCAAGGGAGGGCTGGCGGCTGCCCCGAGAGCCTCCCCCTTCCTGCCACCTGTCCTGTGAGCAAAGCTCGCCCCTCGCACCCAGCGGCACCCAGGGGAGCTGAAGCCAGCAGCCGTGGGCAAGAGCAGGGGGTGCGGGAGCAGGTCCCCAGCTCAAAGGCGCTTTCAGCAGCAGGAGGCGATTTGGGGACAGCAAAGGGACGGTAGCCAAAGCAGAGCTGGGATGCAAACAATACCCAGTTATCTCCAGCCATGCAGACAGCGAGATAAACAGGCTGAGAGGGGCCTGGCAGGACATGCCACAGACACTGGGAACTCCCCTGGAGCCGGAGGAAAGGAGGCAGAGGCCCGGAGCAGCATGCGAGCGGGGCTGGTGCTGGGCACTGAGTCACCCCGAGGGGAGCAGCACAGCTGAAAGTGGGCAAAACACCCCAAAAGGGATTTTGGGGGTGCTGCTGAGGGAAGTCAGGGAGAGCTGCGGAAGGAGTCCACGGCCCGGCCACAGAGTGAGCTGCCCGAGCTGCGTCAGCTGCCCGTTTGGGGAAGAAAAGCAAAAAAAAAAAACAAAGCACAGGGAGCGTGAATCACAGGCACGCTCCCTGCCCTGCCACAGGGGCTGCTCCACGCGTGGGGCAGAGCCCCCAGCTCCCCGGCCGGCTGCCAGCAGGGCTGCAGAGGGGCTGACACTGCCCAGCCGTGCCCCCCACCCCACCCCGGGGAGCAGCGACCCTCCGGGGGCACCAGCACCGCGGACCCCCCCTCCCACCGCCCGGGACCTCTCCTCTCCATGAGCACCGGCT